TGCAAGTGACGAGCTATTTTTTGTACATGTTTCCAGAAGTATCGAATGACTGCATCTCTAGCTTTTATCATTTTCTGAACCTATTCTATAACGGAAACACCATTGAAATACATCCGAACTAAATCTTTTAAACCAGAAACAAGTTGACTAGTCTTATCCCTTCATCTGTCACCGGTCGAATACCCTGCCGAACCGCTCTGGCTTATCTGGCCAAACCGTGCAAGTGACGAGTTGTTTTTTGTACATGTTTCCAGAAGTATCGAATGACTACATCTCTAGCTTTTATCTTTTGTTGAACCTGTTCTATAACGGAAACACCATTGAAATCCTCCATCAAAGGGATTATCTGAAGTTCATTCGATTGTTTCTTGAATTTGTCAACAATGGCTTCCAATTCAGCTATCGTTTTGTCATCTTGTTCTTGTTGTCTTTGAAGGGACTCTCGAGGTCAGTAACTTTTTTCTCGTCTTGCCCCTGCCACCTTTGTCAACCTATTTTTGAAAAGTTGACTTGTGATGTACTTGATTATGGGCACCACGTCTTCTTGATCGAATGTGACACATAGTTTCCTTGCAGATTGTCCTTCTTTTCTTTCTGATTCTTTTCTGACCATAGCCGGACTCCTGCGTTTTTCACCTCTTGTATTACAATCCCTTTGTCCATTAATGCGAATTATTTACGTTTAACGAACACCTTTCTTTTATCAACACCTTTTTTTCAATGATGAAAATTAAAATAAAAGAGAACAAAAATAAAAAGAGTTAGTAACGTAAATCAAAACAATAATAAAATTGAAAAATCCTACCCCACATGATATCTACCCACATGCTTATTATTCCTACATGGACATGATCTCTATCCCGCATGCTAATTTCAAACAAATCCTAACCGTATATTTGTCTAGTTTGCATGCTTTGAACAGAAAGTAAAGCAGGAAATAAAATCAAAACACCCTAGGGTTTGGAATGAGGTTTCAGGGAGGGCTCTAATTCCTTGTAATCTCCCGGTTTAGGTTCTAAAAAGGTACCCGAGTTCTCCTTGCTGGTGCCCCCTTGGGGTTGCCAGACCCTTAGTCCTAAGCCCATTACAAGTTTGTGTGGACTAAGTTAAACTCGAGAGGAAACATTCCCTTATGCCCGCACGGTGAATAAATTCACACGAAGACATAAGGTATATGAATCTCGAAGGCTACTTGCTAGGCCTATGCGGTGAATACATTCACACAAAGGCATCGCTTTCACCCCTACTTAAATAGGGTTTAGAACTCAGGTTTAGAGCCTTAAGTGAGAAACAAGCTTTGAAAGCTGAAATCATTAGAAAACGGTTAGTACAACTATTTACTCAAAAATATAATCAAAAGTAAGCAATAAGGATCGAAATGCTACCTTAAAATTTAAACTTACCCTTTTCGTTAAAAAGACAACTGGAAATTACCTTAGCCTGACTCACTTACATGTTCCCAGTGGAGTCGCCAAGTTGTAGAAACCGTCTTTCGGTTGGGCCCGAAATTGGGCTTCGACTTGGATTAAACGAATTGGAGTCGCCACCGATCATTTATTTTAAAATAAATGGGTTGATCGGATACCCTATTTCTTACTTGATCTGCGTCTTTCCAAAGATGTGTCAGATTCGGGATTCGGTTACAATCAAGGAAGGGTTAGCACCATTGAACTGTCCTTTCGGTACTACGCAATTTCCAGTTGTCTTAAATTAAGAAAATTGTAATTTAAAATTAAAAGGTAAAAATACGATCTCAATTACTTAGCTTAGATAGTTTTAAAGGTGTGCCCTTAAGAAGGTCAAAAAACCATGTTAGATAAAAATGTAAGAAATAAATAAATAAATTGAATTAAAATGAAAAAAAATAAATTAAATAAAAGATAAGATAAAGAAAACAAAGATAAAATAGTAAGTAAAATAAATAAATAAATATATAAAAAATAAAGAAAAAGAAGAAAAAATATATAAATAAAACAAATAATAATAATAATAAAGTAATATATATATATATATATATATAATAAATAAAAACATAAAAAATAGTAAATATATATATAAATTAATAAAACAGATAATAAAAAATAACATATATATGTAATCTAAAAAATAAAAATATATACTAAAATAAAAAAATGCATAAAATGTAAAAAAATATTACATGAAAAAAATAATAAAACAATTAAATAAAATGAGTAATAAGGGAAATGTGCGTATAAATAAAGTTAAATAATTAAAATAATAATAATTAAAACGTAAATGTAAGGGACCGAATCAAAAGGAGAAACAAATCGATTGACAAATTTTGAAGAAAAAAATTGATTTAGGGGGGAGAATTAAATACTTAAAAACAGGAACACGCCTCGGGGGTAGATTTAGGTTCGAAACTTCGAAACTCCACCCCTTTTGGTCATCAACGCAACCCACGTTTTGGGTTATTTGAACCAAATCTCAAGAAAAATAGCATGCACATGCGAGAAATGGACGAATCAAGGTAAAAAAGTTGCTACCTTTTATTTCCTTTTCGAATCATTTACAATAGTTTTGCCTTTGTATTTTTTCTAGTTTTCCTCTGTATTTTGTATGTAAATCGTGTGTTACAATGGCTATTTATAATGCTTGTGGATTCTATTTTTAGGAGTTTAAATCATAGTAGAACTCTATCCTATTTTTAAGAGTTTAAATCCTAATAAAACTCTATATCCTATTTTTAGAAGTTTAAATCCTAATAAAACTCTAACATTATGTTTGTTTTTTGAATCTCACTAAATTAAAATTATTGATAGTTATACCCGAACGAAAAAGTGTGTTACACCATGAAACAAAACACTGGATTCATTACAGAGACATGAGAGATGCAGGGGGAGATGATGATAATGATCCATGGAATCAGGATGTTTTCCGGAACTCCAAGTTTTGTGGTCATCCGATTGGGAGACATCCCCCACGTGCGCTCTCTTCCATATTAAACCACAACTACACTATCACGAATAATTAATTATAACCCATTAAACGAGCTTAATAGTTAATTGATTATTATTCTTTTTTAGAGATTTTGAGTTTAAATAGTTATATTTGTAGGTGTGTGTTATCAATGACTAAAAGAAATCTAAACAGATATTACTTTATAATCATCTTAGACTATTTAAATAAATAAATAAAAAGCTCTACCCTGGCTCTCTTTCATTCAATTTGAACACATGTGAAAATGCTATCTTAACAACATGAGTTGATTGTTAGTCAACTAACAATTTTCATCCAACAGAGTCTTTTTTGACTAAAAATTCAAATGTTAGGGTTAGAATACTCCCCAAAATATAGATGACAAAGTTATTATTTGTGCACATATTGGGTATGTTATAATATCGAAATGATTATCGACAAATAAATAAACACGGTCGAAAAAGAAAAACAGAAAAAACCAAAGATTTACTTAGAAAGCCAAAAGGGAAAAATGATGGGCATGGAGAAGATTTTGGAGAGGAAAAAAACTGAATATCTAACTCTTACTTTTAATATCTATTTATAAAGATAAATATTTGATTACAAAGAAAATATATATATATATATATATATATATATATATATATATATATATATATATATATATATTAGATCTACTTTTAACTAAATTAGATTTAATAATTATGTTTAAATCAACAATCAGTTGATCTAGTGGGATGAAGAATTAGATTCCTTAAACAATGTTTGCGGTTCGAATTCTGATGTTTGTGAATGGAGCAAATTGGGTCGGGAGGGTCATGCTTGTCTCTCTAGAAACTGATCTAGATTAATTAATCAATAAATTATATATCAATGATTTAATTAAAAAAAGAATTAAGTTTTAATATAAAAATATGAAATTTGAATTCAAAAATATATCTAAAAGTATTTTAAATTTATCATTATAAACAAAATTATTAGTTTAAAAATAATCCTACATGATTAATTTCTCTCAACACGTGTAGGAGAAATCCTGAAGAGGTTACTTTTCATTCTCCGCCGTGGCTCGAGACCTTTTTATTCTTTCCACGTGCTACGTCTTTCCAAATATCATAAACAATTATTATATATAACTCAACTCTGATTCTTATCATTTTAATTATATTCTATATAGAATCATCGAGTAGTCCTAATAGATAAAGTGGATATAATTTTTCTCAAAGTTTTTGAGTTTAAACAACTATATTTTTAAGGTAAGAAAGATAATGAACATATAATCACTTTAAACTATATAAAAATTTATATTTAATATAAATCATATTAACACATATTATTAAACATAAATATAATTATTATATTCTTAACGAGTGATACATCTTTCTGATGTATTGATAATATATATTTGTATAGTACTATATGTAAATCAAATATAAATCTTAAAAACTAATATTTTTAATCCAAACCACATAGGTGAGTTGATTTTTATATTATTTAAATCAACAAATCAACTTGAGAGTACTTTTGTCCTTTTGTCCGTTGCATGATTATTAAAAAGTTATAAAATTGTTATTTGATTATTCATTATGTCTTCAACTCGTTATTTTCGTTGAAAAATTACCAATCATCTAGGCTGAAGGTTAACAATGTCACTAAGATACGATAGTCGTCTGAACTGGAATATTAAACAATATTCTATAAATATGGGACCATTTATATACTTTATCCTATTATTTAATCCAAACCACATAGGGGATCTTTATAATATTAAAATCGACAAATCTACCTGAAAGGAAGTGTTTTTGTCCCGTTGCATGTGAGCGTAAGAAGGTTAAAATCGTGGACTTTAGTGAACAATCAGAGTGGTTCTTCTACATGATCCAACGGTGATGAACTTGACATTCATCTAACCTGTAATGCAAAACATGTTTTGTCCATACCAGGAACCTTCTTGGAAGCGAACTGGAAATTGCTTTTCTCCTGCATGTTGTTGTCTATATAAACACTAAGCAAGCAAAAATCATGAGTATTTGATAACCATTTCATTTCTTTTCAATTCTCTTATGGATTTGTCTGCACCAGATCATGGATCATGTAGGAAGCACTCAAATCACCAGCAAAATCAAGGTGTTTGTCCTTGTTGTCTTAGAGAAAGATTATCCTATCTTTCTTGTGTTCCACACAAAGAAGCTTCTTCACTGTATTTTTGTGCTGCCGACTCAAACTTCGCCTCTCCGGTTCGACGTCGTAACTCCGACAAGCGAAACATATTCAGGGTGATGGGAATCAAGGGGATGTCCTTGTCTTCTTCCGGGGTGAAGGTTGGTAATGGTAATGGTTTGAAGAAGAGTAGGTCAATTGCTTTCGTACCAAGAAACTTGGATGAAGAGGAAGAGGATGTTGAAAATGGGAAAAAGAGGAAAGGGTTTTGGTCAAAGTGGGTGCACTTCAAGGAGAAGAAAGATGTTCTGATGCATTCAACAAGTATGAGATTAATGATTCCAGGAGTGAATTAGGGTTCAGTTTCAATAAAAACCCTGCATTTTTCTCTTTACTTTGTTGCATATTCATGGGATGGGAAAGAATGTTTAAGCTTCAATCATGTGTTTATGATATATTTTTTTTTTCAATTTTGCTTCTCTTCAAGAAACAAAATCTGGAAATTCTAAAATATATCCTGTAAATATAAGGCTTCAAAAACGATAGAATAGGGACGAAGTCATGATTAAATAATAACAGGGCCGGACTGTTTAAGAAAAAATAATGTTTTACTAAATATTTAAATTCAAAATTCAGAAGACAATATTTAATTTGTCTAATATTTAAACTTACAATTACCTAAATTGTTATTAGACCCAAAAAATTTGAGTACATAGGATTATACTTCTTTATTTCAGCCACTACTTAATTAAATATTTAACAAATTATTGTATTTTTTTAATTTGAATACTCTTTTTACATAAACTAAAATACTATTAAACCAAAATTTATCAATATATAAAACTTTTACATGGGTCAGGGCCTTTTTATACCTCAACAGAGCTCCGTCCCTGCGATAGAAATCAATTGTTATTGAAAATCTTATCTAGAGTATAACTTTTTTAGTTTGGTAGAATAACATTTTTGTTGCAACCGAGAATATTACTTATTTCATAATATTCTCGATTGTAAACGCTAAACCCTTCGTAAAATAATTTTTTTAGTTACAATAAAAAATATTATAAATTTGCATAACTTTTTAACATTTTCAAATTAAAATCGTCTTACCTTTTATGTTGAACAAAATGGCATTTTAAATTAAAATCGAATAATATTTTTAATTGAAATCGTCTTAAATTAATCTGATGTACAACATAATTATCCACATAGAACATCATAATTATCCAACAAAATCAAGTTTGGGGCCCTAGAATTGTCTTCGAAACAGAAATGCTTTTAGATTTTATGACGTCAGAATTATACTACATTTCACGAGAAAGGATCTGAATGTCTACATGTTCAATGCAAATTACAAAACTATCCCCTCCCCCCTATTGTATTAGTCCGAAATTTCCAGCTGCAGACTCCAATACGGTAAAAACATATTCCCTTACATGACTGTAAATATTCAATGGACCATTTGATCTGTACATTCCGTATCACAGTTTACACAACAAGTACATATTTTCTGATTGAATTTTCTTGTGGAACCCTTGATCTTGGCTTCTGTATCAGTTCTCATTCTCATCACTGTCGCCTACAGACGGTCGTTTCAATCGCTGGAATATCTCATCTAGGGACTCAGATGAGTTGACAGAGGGAATGAGTTTGGCTTCCTGATTCTGGCGTGTATTGAGAAACTTTCTGGCCTCAATATTTGCTTTAAAGGTTTGAAAACCGGATTTCATCGACCTCAATGTTGAGGCCAATCCCTTTGGGCTACCGGAATGAGAGTTGCTTGCTTCAAGCAGTAAGACCTTAGCAGAGGTTATGTTATTCTCCATCGGTTTTGGATTCGACATTTTTCGACCCAGTTCTCTCATGGAAGCATACTTATTGCTGATGGCTTCTCTGCTTGATGCATATTTACGGGTCTCTTCTTTCATAGGCCTTGAGGGAGATCCCTTCGCACCATCGGCGGCCGAAGTGGTAGCCGCCTTCATTTCTACAACAGTCCTACCCTGAGCATTTTACATCGAGTTAGAAAATCAACATAACCATAGGCTTGACATGAAAAAGAAAACATTTTGCAGACTAGAAAGAACAGGCATTATAATTCATAAGATCTTTGATTAATTGCACTATAAAAAGACTGCATATATATTTTAAAGATGATTACATACTGGAATATTGTTGCCATGCTCAACATCAGCGCCATTAAAATTTCTCGCCAACGGAATTACTTGTTCGCCAACTTGGCATCCTTGCTCAAGCCAAGATCGCTCTGTAAAGAGTAAAAAACTTTTTATTAACTCCTGTTCATATATCTTAATAATTCTTAGCAGGGAATTTAACCATGATAAAGACTAGATATTTGCATAATTCGCAAATCACTGCCGCTCCCCTCATGATAATACTCGTCATTCCAAACCAAATATATATATTGTCATCACCAAACTCAGACCAGCAGTAATTATGGAAAATTGTTACATGACAGTCCATCATCTCTTGAAGGAGTCACGGACACATCTATGCCGTGACTTGATTTCATCAAGAAATTCAGAACCAGCTATGCAAGTGATAAACAAAATAATATTAAAAATTGGACTATTGTATAGTTCGTCATTCCCTACAAAAGTGACGGACTGTGAAGAAAGTAAAGTCCATTAATTAGTTATTTTACTATTGCAACCTTAATTCAGTAATAAAGTGTCACATGAACAGGACCTATCATGCAAATGTCAAATACACTTCTTAAATTGTGCATTTCCAACTGTGAAAGATTAGAAAAGGTAAGAGTATTATATTTACGGTGACTGCTATTTAGAAGAATGGATTATTGGCATCCTTACCCTTTTGCAGGATAATTAATCCTGAGGGATCGAACCCATCCACATCATCTGCCTCAATTTGAAATCTAAGTCTCTTCCAGCTCCCGAAGAAACCAACTACACGATCAAAGAAATTGCCAGCAACTAACAAGGTGTAACCAACCATAATAATTGGATAAATATTGTTGAACCCTTCTCCAAAGAAAGGTACAGCATCATCAATGTTCCCCATTCTCTGCAATGAGAAGTTTAAAGATTACCATAAAAAACCATACAGGGGAAGAAAAAGAATAGCGTGCCTAGTTTGATAACAAAGTAGAAAAGTGAAAAAATAAAAATAAAAACATTAAAAAATGGACCAAGTATGATACACTGCAATATATTGTGTTTGTGAAATTTTGGGGACTGGAGGTTGAAACAAATTTCAGATCAGACAAAATTCCCAAGTTATATGACATCCAACCAACTAAAAAAGATAGCGGGAATCAAAAGCTGCTTTACTAAAAGGATATTAATGTTATATGTAAGCATCCTGATTTCTTAATAGAAATCCAAAGACCACAAGATAAGTGTCCACTCAAGAAGTTGTCACTGAAAGCCAAAGCAGCTTTTCTTCTTTTTCTTCTATTTTTGGTGGCTGATAGTGAGTCGCCAAATTAGCAAATCAAACCAGACACTAAACAATAGTAGCATTTTCACCTTACAAACCAAAAACTGTAACATTTTGAAACAAATAAAGATAATAAAAAATTGCTTTTATTTTTTATTTTTTGCATGGCTGATAATAGTGACAGACACTAAACCAGCACTAAGTACACATAGTAAAGTTATAATATTATATCCCCCCTCTAAACCAAAAAGTTCAACGTTTTGAAACAGATTAAGAATAATTGCTGCCTTATTCCAATAACTTTGTCCATTACAAATGATATGCGAAATGCCAATCCAGTCATCAACACGATCAAGCCATGTTATCTTTCTTGCAATTTCTATAAGCACTGAAATCACTGGGTGTAATGTTTGACAGCTGAAGAATGAAGTAAAAGAAATACCTTTTCAAATATGGTCTTTTTACCATAAAGGCTAATGAGATTGAGAAAGTTGTAAGAAATTGGGGGAGCATATCGAGCAACCATCCTAGAAAACATGTTTATCATTATTTTGATTACCAAAATAAAAATAAACAAATTAATTAATTAAAAGGCAAAAAAGAAAGCTAAAAACAATAGATCTCCAAGGTAAACTTACGAGCATATCATGAGCAAGCTGACTGAGCTAGTTTGCCGTGGTGTTAATGAGTAAAACATTAACATTCCAACCTTGAACAAGGAATAATATGTGCAGATGCACATATACATCAAAGGTACAAAAGCAAATGCCTGGAAGAAAAGGTAATCGGCATAAAAGTGGGGGAAAAAAGAGAATGGTCTAGAAGAGAACACACTATATGAAAATATCGAACAAAAGATAAGATGTCAATGGCAGTAGTCATCAACTGCATGCAACAGTGAGTCCATGTTGAAGTGAAAACATGCAAAAGGCAAGAAAGAAGAGAACTATAGAATTGCAAAATTGAAGATTCCAAGACCTAATTTCCATCCCAATCAAGTCATCGAATCAAGATTACAAAATCTCTATGAAATTGCACGATTTGAATCTCTTCACAGGAGAAAAATGCAAAAGTTTTACCTGTACAAGCACCTCATCCTTCTTTACGGAATTTATAAGGATAGAGAAAAGAGATAGGTCAACTCCTCTAGGTAAAAGTGTAGCCTCAGCTAAAAGAATTGCTGCAGAAATGATGCCAAGTATAACAGCCAAGACCTTCTTTAGTTGTTTCCATAGGCATCGCCAAATAAATTCTGCAAAAGAATCATCATTTGTGTTAAAATCTATTATAATAAAACTTTTAATCATGGATAGAAAAGGATTATATCCATCTCTCAAGGACCCTACACACATCCAAGAACCATAGAAAACACTGCTTTCTTTCAGAATACAGTTGATAATATTACGATGAACTGAATGTAACACATCCTGATAATCCAGAAAAACCGGGAATATAATATGAAGTGTTGATTTCAAATGATGACTCCAGCAACTCTTCTCAGAGAAATTGGGCAAAGTAAAAGAACAAAAGTTTTAGGGTCTCCCAAAGAACTAAACATATGTAAAGAATCATGAAAAAGACAAATACTGACTGTGCAACACAATCAATATAGCTCTACATACCTATTGTATCTAAGAGGGTTCCTGTCTTCCCAGAGCGAGCAGGTCTGAAACTTGATACATATTTCCTGAAATGACATCAAATCTGAACTTTAATGATTGAGGAAACGCAACTAGAATGCTATAAGACTAATGTAGACAGAAGAAACAAGGTTAGAAAAAAACCATCCGGTTGAACTACGATGTTCGTAATTTTTTATTGTATCTTCAAGCTGAAGTGCCTCTGAGACATAAGTCATATACTCACTGCAAAGCCAACCATGTTTCAGATATAAAGAAGCAAAAGTTTCAAATACAAGGTCAGATTGAAAGTTTAT